GGGGGAGGGGGCGGGGAAAGAAGGTGGATAGGGGGGAGGATCGGGGGGGGGGGGAAGAGTTTCCAGCTTTATTTTATTATTTTCCCATCACACAGGCAAAGGAACGTTGAGCTTTATTCAGACTGGCAAACATTGATAGCTGAGAGAAATGACCAGAAATTCAGGCTAAAACTGAAATATATCAACCAACTACTTCTTCAGGGGGGCGGGGAGGGGAGGGAGGAGATCAAGGAGAGAACCCAAAGACATCTTCACCTGCATCCTAGGATAAAAAGATGGTCACTGGCACAATCATGGTAAACAACTATGTTTATAGACATCCTCAGACTTCTGAGATAACTTTCCATGATTGCCTGGGCAGACCATGCTGGGCTATCCCTTTTAAGAGGATATAAAATTGTCACCAAAGGAAGACTTACTAAGGAAGTTGCTATCTCATTTTACCTGGGTGTTATCAGTCGCTGCTTCCTGGCTTCGTTTCACTGAGTTTGTGAGCTCACAACTTCTTTCAAAACTGATCACCTTGAAAGATCAGAATAGATTGTATGGTTAGGGAGCAGTTAGATATAAGCATGCTCAGGAGTTTGAATGGGCTCACAGGTTTTGTCACAGTACTCGATAAAAATTGTATGAATTATGAATTCAGCTCAAACCTGTACTCTAGAATCTCACTTTGGATTTGAATTTCTGAATAAATCATAACACTGAGGACATACCTATGAAGGTGACCATGAGCTTCTACTTTCAGCTTCTACTTTCAGAACTTACCCTTCACAACATTGAATGGAATTATATATAAAATTCCAAATGCGGCCACACCATAGATCTTCCATTCCTTGTTAAATAATACTTAGCATGGGATTTATCTTTTTAAAATTCGAATTAGTTGCAGCAGTAGGTTAATACTGCATGCAGTCAGATAGACAAGCATGTTTTTTTGGTTTTCTTACATATCTACTGATTTGGGTTCTATTTTTTGCGGATGTCTGTAATGTTTCTTTTTGTTTCGTTTTTGTGCCTTCAGTCTTCATAACTTCATATTACGGGGAAAAAAATCTTCCTAGCAGTTGACCAAAAAAAGTGTGGATGAATATTATTTTAGAAAAGAAAAGTCACATTTTCAATGCTTTGGAGTGTTTTAAGTAACATTTTGGTTGTTCCTCAAGCTATCTTGGGAGGGGGAGTTAGAATGTACACCTTTTGTCCATGCAATCCCATTCAAGTCCTTCTGAGTTTAGTAAGACTGAACATCCAGAAAGTACATAAAGGATTACAATCCAAATAAGTGAACAATTCTTTCTCACCTTTCAGGTGATTCGTGTACATGAAAAATCATAACACATCTTAACAGGTTTGCTTGCCTTCTGAATAAATCACCATTGTAAAAAAATATTGCTGGAACATTTCATTACAATGAAATTAGCGATCTGGTTTATACACCTATGCAGCTAAGATTTGCCATGGATAAATGTAATTCAAACTATCTTTTTCCAAGCAGACAATGATAATATATTTCTATTTTTATTAGAGGCAGAACATATTAGAAAACAATTACATTCTTTCTTACAACCACCCTACCCTTTCCTTCAACTCAACGACATAACTAATTTATAATATTTTCTCCCCTTGACATGTTGAACAAGACCTGGACAGAGGACTACATTCCATTGGTCCATTTCTTGTACTTCCAAAAGTGACAAATCTTCTTACAAATTTGCTTCCTATGTTTTTTAAGCATGCTCTGCCATTAATTTTCAGGAGACTTCTCAAATGTCTACTTGTAATTGGAGAATAGTGGATAAATTAAGCTATTTGCTTTCTGAGGGCATGAAGGCACAAACCTGGATATCTGAGCTCTAAATTCAGTGCCTGCTGAAGACATACCTTTGGGAATGCTCTCTCCCTGAGCTTCATTCAAGCGAAGTATACATCCTTACTTGCATGGTGCATCCTCAAATACCCTATTGCATTGGTATCATGTCTTATATGATACACTGGCTTCTGGGGGTTTGTATTGCCCACTTTGGTGGTCCCATTATTCCTATATCAGCCATCTATTGTCCTCACATTAACCTTGTTCATAAAAGATTTGCCCTTCTGATATAACTAAAGTAGTTGATTACTGCTCCTTTAGGTAAGGCACTGTATACTTCATTAAAGCTTGTTATCATCAATATTGGAATTGTTTCCCCAGGTTAAAAAGTAATTGCACTAACTGTATCCCACAGCATGGAAAGTCCAAGACCATTTCTGATCTGATCATTGTATTTGAGGAGTTATTGGGCTTGCAAGAAAAGCATTTGTTGTTGGTATAGGGGTATGGTTACCAGACTTCTGGCAGAAGGAAGACATGCCCTCCTGTTTGTCCTCATGTTCTCTGTCCAGCAGGCATAGCCTTACAATCAAATATTGTCCAGCTTTTTGAGCATCTCTTCCTGAGTAGCTTTTCTCCATACCTCAGCACTTCCCTGGTAAGTGCTAACCCCAAGTTAACAAGCTCAGCTCTGTGACCTTGATTAATTCATTAGCTCCCTCTGGGGGCTTTCCCTGCTGCCTGAAATTGACAAGACCTTAATCAGTTACATGCTGAAGGCTTTTGCCTCCTAACCACTCTAACACATTCCTGTGATTGGAAAACCAGTCTTTCTGCTGCTGGAAAAAGTAATTTCATGTACATGTAGGCTTAATTACATTGAACATATGAGGATCTTCACCCCTATGCCAACCTCTTACTTCTCCTCCTTTCTGCTTTTTGTTCAATAGTCTTAGTAATTTTCTATCAGCTATTTCCATAACATGATCAACAACAGTGAGATGTAAAATTATAGGTGACCATGTAAATCCTAAAGCTGCTCGATCCCTAAATAATATTTCATAAGGGCTATACCATATTCCTCCTGTGGGGAAAATTGAATAGCAGCCAAAATAGTTTGTAAGTATAGTGGCCACATAATAAAGAAGCACAGCATAACTTTTATGAGCTTCCTTCGGGATTGCATTCATGAGGTCAATTTGACCAGCACTCAGTGGGTTATATAAAATATGTAGTTGTCTATGAACTTGTAACAAGTCACAAAGCTGAGCTGGAACATCTGAAACAAAGGCACAACACTTGGAATACCCCAAATCTACAAAAGATTTCCTGATATAGTTTCTGCAGCAATGCATCATTTGGTGGGAAAAGCTTCTATCCAACCAGAAAATTCATTAACTATAGCTAAAAATGATTGATACCTTCAGATGTTTGGGGTAGTTTGTCAATATAATCCAAATATACCACACTTCATGATCCCTTTAACCTATGTCCTTATAAGGAAATATTGGGAGTATGGTATTATCTCTTGTGTTGCCGTGTCAGCCCCACTAGATAGATCAGACCCGGAAATCAACTTCACAGGAAGGCTAAAGCTACTTTTATCGAGATTGGCTACAGTAACAGAATCTCGCAAGTCTGATTGTGCTGGGCCTCCTCCCCTTATACTCCAGTGAACTGGGAAGCTGTCCGTCAGAGCCACTTTTGAATGTTATCTTGTTGCTCCAAACTTAAAAAAATATTTTAGCCCTTTTGCCTAGACAAACATTCTTGCATAGTTTTATCAAGGTCATATTTCGTTACATGCAGGCAAAAGGTATATTTTTGTACTATTCACTAGACCATTTTCCTCCTCTTGGGCCAGTTAGCAGTCTGCTCAACTTTATGAAGAATCTTCTCTTCATAAAGGGAGTCCTCATGGGCCATATTATGAATATCCAAAATCAACTGTTCTTGTTCTCCTAAAGAATGTAGATCAATCACTTTAATGACTTGGGTTCCAGTAGATTCTGCTTCATTCATTCATTGAGATAGATATTTATCTATCTCCAAATATCAATGTTAGAATGGGCCTTAATTCAATATATGCATAAAGCAAGAATCTTTAGTGTAAATTGATATAATTGCTTCCATAGAGTAATATATATTACAGATGTATTGGAAGTGTTTAACCAACCTTCTGTCGAGTAATGCATGTAAAACTTTAAACCCTTCTGGCAATATTCATTGTTGGTAATTAAAGAGAGCTCAGGCTCTTCACGTTCAGCATCATCTTCCAATGCCTTCAGACATGCAGTTACTTCAGAGGGACCCAGTACTCCACCCAGGGTACAGCAAGCAGAATGAATAGCTACCCGTGAGGATAATCTCTTTCCTTTAACATATCTGCTGCTGCCATCAGTAAACCATATATTGTGCTCTGAGAAAGGGATTCAGACGGAAAGCATGTCCTAGCAATCTCTTTTTTCCAGTCTCTCAAAGCACAATCATGACCTCTATTCTGTTCTAAAATGCTTTTACACAACAAATCTGGTTGTTGCACCATCTCTGTGGTAACCTTTTTCCACATTAAACAAAGCATCTGTGGAGCCACCTGACTATTAAACAACAATGCACCTTTTTGCCTTATAAAAGTTACGTAAGAGAGAAGTACCAGCTCTGCAAAATAACTGGAGCACTCCCAACATCTCAAAAGTTTGCAGCAGCAGCACATGATTTTTCACAAGGTATATATATTTCTTTTCAGGACAGCAAGTTCTCATGAGTCACGAGCTACAGGCTTTCTCTCATCATTCTTCTGAAATACAAATGCACCTGGAGGTTCAAGACCAAATCTAGTTTGTATGTAAAAGATCGTGGTGGGGTGGTCAGGTAATCTGGACTCCTGCTAGCTAACATTTTCAAAGTGTCAGGAGTCTGTTGGTGCTAATCAGTCCATTCCCATTTGGCATTTTTTAAAGTGTTTCCACATTTTTCTAGTAACGTCAGCAAAGTTAGGAATGTGATTACATATACAATTAAAAGCTCCTGGTGGTGTTTGTAACTGCTTCACATTCCTAAGAGTAGGGTTGGCACACAAAGCCTCAATTTTATCTAAGTCAATTTTCTTTCCCCTGGTTATAGTGTTAAGCCCAAATCTTTAACTTTTTTGCTTTACTAACTGTGCTTTACCAAATTAACATTAAATGTGGTGTCTTTGACAAGAATCAGTACCTTCAAAGCCCTATAAAATATTTGTTTTCAAATACTAATGTACTGTCCACATAAAACAGAAACTTTTGTCTGTCTTCTGGGTCTGGAGAGTCTAACTTTTCTGTCAAATAATGGTGGGATATGGGTGGAGCATAGTGAAAACCTTGCCAGAAGGGGCTGTTAAAGCGACTGTTTGTTTGTACTAGAACTTCTTCTAGCAAGTTTTTTTATTGTCTCTCCAATACCCTCTTGTGCTTCTTTAGGGTAGGGGTATTGTTTCTGAGGAGGAACAAATGGCCTAACAATTTCAACTTGCAGAGATACACATTTTCCATAATCATATTTATGAGTCTGGTGTACTCCTGGCACCAAGTCTGGCCAATAATCCACAATTTTGGCTGTTTCTTTACATACTGCATTTACAAATCTTGTACCATCTTAAAGCTTCCAAAACATAAGAGAAAAAGGATTAAACCATATCCAAGATTCAATAAAAGAAGGGATGCTTAAAATACTGCCTTCCGTATACTTACAGTTAATAACATAGTTTTAAAATGTACTAAACCAACTTTATTAGTGGGTACCTGTTCTCTGCTACCCAGCTGAACTGCAGTTCTGGAATCACAGCCAGCTGCAGTAAGTGTATGGACTTGCCCTGGACTCCTTCTGCAATAGGAAGCCTTGAAATGTTTGTTTCAGCTCCTGAGCCAAGTAAGAACATCTATGGATTCCTGCTACAACAACATTGCTGTCGATGGAGGTCTTTTTCAAATTTCCCCAAGTACCATCACTGAGACCTCAGATATTTTGCAGTAGGGCTTCCCTTATCTTCCTAAGGACGGACAGATACCTGGCTTATAGCAGCTTGTACCATGTCCCTAAATTTTATTAAACATTACAATTAAAAAGATAAAAACTAATACAAAGAAACATAAAAGAAAAAGAAAAACTAGAAAGTGCAGAAAATAAATAAAATAAATCCCAATGCTTTAAAACTTGTCATTCCAAAGGCTCCTAATAGCTGAAAAGCAGTTAACAAGCAATTTTAAAAAAATGATTAGAAAAGGAAGCATGCAAACCCTGTGTCCATAAAGGCAACAACTGCGGTTTGGGTAAAGAAAACAGCTCAGTACAATGTTTCTCAAGCTTGGCAACTTTAAGATGTCTGGACTTCAACTCCTAGCTTGAGAAACACTGGCTTAGTGTATTAAATGTAGTAAACTAATCTGTAATGTAATATAACAACAAGCAGTTCTTAAAAGGGGAGGTTACCCAAAACTCTTGCAGCCAGCTACATCCTAGGAAGCAGGCCAAAGAATAGAGTTTTGTTGCCAATTCCAACTCTTAGGGACGGAGAGAGGGGGAGGGAGGGTGTGGAGGAAAATATGTCACTTTTAAAGTTTTCAAAAACAACTTTGCCAGATTTTCTACTGCAAACAATAAGAGTGTTCCTTATACCCCTAGATTTTAACATACATTTCAACAATGAATCATGAAGACCATATCACAAAAACAAAGGCCACCTATCCATGCCCCATGTTCTCAATGTATCAGCTGTTCCCCTCTCTGGAGTTGCAAAGTTATTTATCAAGACATATCTAGACTGCTTCTTTTCTCATGTTCCTGAGTCACTCAGTGCTTTCTACTGGATCCCAGTGAATTTCCACATCTCTTGTATTCAAAACTTGCAACGTCAAGACTCATCCTTCATTCAGGTTCCTCAGCACCACTGGGAGCTTTCTACTGGATCCCAGCAGATCTCAGAAGAATTCCAGCAGGTTTCAAGAGGATTTCACCTTCTAGCATTTTGTCACTGTGCCATCCTTGGTTCCATAATCCTTCCAGTTCCACCCTTTAGAACAGGGTTCCTCAACCTTGGTGACCTGAAGATGTGTGAACTCAACCCCCCAGATTCCCCCACCCGGCATGGGAATTCTGGGAGTTGAAGTTCACACATCTTCAAGTCGCCAAGGTTGAGGAACCCTGTTCTAAAGGGCGGAACTGGAAGGATTATGGAACCAAGGAT